ATTCAGGTGCATTAAATTAAACGGATTTTTGCTCAACTAAATTTTGCTTTGAATGTTATATAGAGGCTGCTATTGAGACGGATGGAAAACGTGATTCGTGAGGATCAAAACACTCGCAAGACATGGATACTATCGAGTTGTGGAAGGAAGTACTTGCAACTGCAATTTTCGCCCAGTCAATTGAAATCCATGTTGGAGTTCTGTGAACATTTTTCCTCCAGACGGCCAAGTAAGTTGAATAACTGTCCTCATGATCGTTGCTTCCTCTTAAGACGCCGTCATCGTTTAAGTTAGTTCATTGGATTACATCGAGTGCAGCTTCAAGCGACACATTCTAATCGTTTTATTTGAAAGTGTCCTGCTTCGACAGAACCACGGCAAGACACGGTAAGTCGATCAAATATCTGCTCGCTTGGTTGCCTTCAAATCTTTATCGTTCTCGTAGGAGTCTAACTATGGTTATTACTCTCTCTTTTGAAAGGATTTCATTGAATAGGCTTTTTCTTCAGGGTCTGGTTTGTCTACCGGAGGAAGCACATTGTGATATTTTCCACTTTTTGCAGCAACCGACTTTGGGTAATCCACAACGAGACAAGTGCGCCATGGATATCAGTCACTCACTCTGATAATACGAACATATAACATATGAAAAGTTTAATACAGATTGGTTGACTTGCAACAAAATGACAAAGAAACAACATGAGAAGTCAGTCAGTTACTTTCAGCAGTTTATCCCATTGGTTACAAAAGCACCAGCATCAGTGAGTGTCTCTAACGATTCCATCACTGCGGCAGCATTGAAAGGATAGCAATTTATGCTCAGTAAATAAGTCATTCACAATTTATGAGTTTTAGGCATGCGCATTGCTATCAACATGCAAAGATTGTTTATTTATTGTTGCATGGAAAGGAGCCAAATATTTTGAAGATTTTACATCTAGTTTAGCTTTCAGGTATTTTATACGCTGATCACTGCTCATGAGATCTGTACCATATGTTAACTTGTGAGAATGAGCACTTTTTGCTCTTCGGAAGAGGAAATGAAATTGAACAGGGCACAATTTAGTCAGACGCTGTGGTGTTTATTTTTCTTGTGATAGTGAGCGGCGAACGAAGTTTTAGAACCTTAGAGCTTGGTGGATCAGTGGGTGATTTTGGCCACATAGCAGCAGCTGAAAAAATGGCACTCTACCTTTATGACCGCAATTATAATCCATTCAATCAGCCCTATTCTGTCACTGTTGTTGTTGTTGATTCTTGCCATCAACGGTACCATTTTCAGGAGGAATTTTGTCTTTTAGGAAAGATGTTTTTTATGCGTCATCGATGCATTTATCGGCAAGGACAAGTAGTGAATTTTTTGAAGAAGGAGATGACAGTTTATGCTGCATGAATGGGTAGTAAGAAGGCCTTTCATCTAGTCAGGTCAATTTAAACTTTCGCTAATGATGAAACTGATGGAAAAATCAGGTATTAAGGGAATATTGTAGACGGTAAAATATTTTCACACAAAACAGTCATGAAAGACTAGGAATTAAGGACATAAATGGAAAACTCATTACTTGTATTTATTCGTAAAAAAGAAGAAAAGATTCTTATCTGGAAGAGTACTGTAACAGAGTTTTACGATATCAGTGTATTTACTCTGGAAGTGTAGGAGGTCATGATTTCAAAGTACATTTTTTAGATTCTTTTCTGGACTGCCTAGAGCTTAAAAAGAGACCTCATAACTTCAATAGGATTTCCAGAAGCTGATTAGAACCTTGAAAACGGTCTCCAGGATTTTGCCAAAAACAACAAAATCTGTTGTAAAAGGTAGAAGCTTTAGGCATTGTTGCACTTGGCATATTCCCAGGGTCTTTCGTAAGCATGGTGCGTAGGTTATCATAAGCATACACTCACTTGAGTACCTCACTAAGCTTGTTAATGACGGCATTCAACACAATCCGGATGTCACATCCTTCTTCCTTCCTATGCTGCTCTTGGGCATCGCTACCCGTCCCCCCCAAATTGAGAGCTATGATACAGCATTGAGAAGGTGGCTTAGGTATTGGCTTCGATTCTCAGCGGGCATAAACATCCAGTTCATAGAATAAATATGATACTGAGCTTTTATATTTAGACAAATGGATCTTGGAACCGATATAAACGAATATAAGCAGTGCCTCATGCAAATGAAAACAGGTAATAAGAACTAACTTCACAAATTTGAAACCTTGTATGCTTTCGATCGCAATGCCAACTTAGCTGTCGTTTCGTTTCAGGATATTCGACGTTTTGCCTTGAAGAGGAGCTGATAGACGAGACCTGCTTGTGGTGGATCGAGCTGCTCACTTGCGCATATTTTTGGAAAAACGGACGATTGAAAGAAGCTCGACAAAAATACCTTGTTATCAAAAGCATTCCGAAGTCCCTCCTGAAAAAGTAACTTTGAAAGTTTTCCATTCTCAAATGCTAATTAAAACGTATGACAGTATTAAAGGGAATCGAGGGTGTACTTCCAAAATTGTGACGGCATCTCGGTCACTATTTCGGTGCTTCGCCTGGACATAAGCGACATTCAGTTCCATTAATTTTTTCACCTTCTCGTTTTGGTGGCCATAAAATAAAATCCTTTCATTTAATGAGTGCTGAAATTGCAGTTCCGTAAAATTTGTGTCCCAAATGTCCCTGACGTTGTAAGACATATGCACACTTCTTCCTCTTATTTTGAAAACTACGCCGTACAAACATTCCATCTGGATTGAATGAATGAATGCTCATTCTTCACTCGTTTCAATGCCATGTCAGTTCCACCAAGATCTTCCCATGTTGCTGCGGTCTTCATGGCAGCCACCTGTCATCAATCTTTGCATTTGGTACTTGATTCGCAAGGCGGCTGTCATCTATTGTTGGCAATGGCCCTACCATTTCAAATGCTTGTTTGCAGTCAGTCGGTCACTTTAAGGTTGAATGTCTTAATCTGTCTTTCACAATGGCATTTCACACCAGGACTTGCCACTCTATTCTAAACATTGATGTCAAAGTCTTCAGTTTCGTCGCTTCCAGTTTCCTGTTTTCAGCTGTGTTCAGGGCTACCGTCTCCAAGCCACTGAGAAATATGTTCAGAACGTAAGCCACGTATATACACAGCTTCTGGCTATTGCCCAAATTTTTGTATTTCCGGAGTTTGAATAATTTTGTTTACTGGAACGTCAGCAATTCTAATAAAGTCTTTGCTATTTGTCCAATTCCTGTGACCAGAACCGTTAAAGCGTCATTTCGAAAGATGTGCATATCCTAGAGATTTTACCTCACGCGGCGGAGTATGAGCAACGATCAAAGAACTGAAACTCAAGTCATGATGAATTCTGCTCCATTGCTACGTAATGGTCATGAAAGATTGGCATGGAGTCAAACATGTCTTGTACAGAAATGATGCTAACATGAATGGATGCAAGGTGATCCATGAACTCTAATGTATCTAGGAGAGACACGTCATAATTATAAAAATTCCAGAGTGGCTGATAGATTATCCTCTGTTTCCATATTTAAAGGAAATAAGGGTATTTAGGGTATTTATGCATTGTAGCATCTGTTTGCTTCACAAAAGACGATGGCGTTCGTTGCATTGGTATTTTTTAATTTTTCGCTTTCAAGAAATCTGGCTTTGGCTGTAGTGCACAGCTTCTGCGCCGTTAAGCTTTCGGTGGAGGACACCAAGCGACAGCACGTCGAACAGCTAATATGGATTCATTGCGTTCAGGCTCGAAAACGCATGCGGTTGTATGCCCAGGAAACGCCTCAGGATACATTCTTGGAAGTGAGGTTTTGCTGTATTTATAAAACGTTTTCTCATTGTATGTTTAAGCACAAGTTTGACCTTTGCTTTCGACCGACTGATGTTTAAGAATCAGAGAATGTTCATGCGAGAGTAGCCGCGGTTAATAGGCGGGTCATTCCTGAATCCAGTTAAGATCTAACCTTGCTCCTCTACCTTGCTCGTACTTACTTAAACGGACATTACGAAAGGTGAAGGCTGTATAGCGCATGGATTACCAACAAATCGATCATTCACTTGAGTAATAGCCTAACATATGACACCTCAGCAGTGAGGTCCTAGTGTTTGACCTCCTCATGTCTTTTCGATATTCATTAGTTTTCAGAGACCACCATTACTTCCAAATCTCGGGAGCTACTGCTTCAGGAAACGTTTTCAAAGGACTTGGTCTGAGGCAAAACGGGCAAGGATTGCCAAAGCGCGACAATCCCAGGTCTCTTCTACAGTTGAGCCGTATCATCCGTGGTCTGCATTTGGGACGTCTTCTTTGTACCTTTGTCAAGAGAGTTGCATTCCTAAGTTCCTCCTGTGGCATCCTCATCATATTTCATTCGGCTTATCCTTGCAATTGGCAGCAGGCGTGGGCTGGAATCATGACATAGTCTATAAATTCAATAGTTCACATCATTCCTCATGCGTATTTTCTCCCTGAATAGTTGTCTCCTGCAAAAGTTGTTCATCGTCAAGTTAGTATTCGCCAAATCTTGTGTCTGGTTTCTTCAGGTAAAGTCTGAATCAGCTGTTGCTGGATGTTCGCATGCATGACCAAAACACAACAATACATCGCATGATACACTTGTATGGTAGCTCGATACTTACGTGGTGTATGGTTTTCGCTTCGTTAAAGCCTTGTCATGCTTGTGTATCAAACTTGAACGTTCTTACTGACAGACAGTAGGAGTATAAATTGCCAGAGAAATTCCATTGTTCGATTATCCTTCTGCGTTATTATTAACTTTTTACAAACATCTCATCATGTTATTGCCAAAGTCCCAAGTTTGTGGAGAAAAACTAGGTCTCCTTCTTTCTCATGTTCAGCTGAGCGGTTGATCCATGTGACTTCGCAAATGGGCACATAAGTGTCAACGTAGCAAAGGAAAACTCACTAGTTTCAAAAACGTGCATTCTTACTTTCAACGCGAAGTTAGTCTCATTTGAACATTTCTGCCAAGGTCAATTTGTTTGAATTCTTCTGCAGCGTCCCTGTTCAAAGGAAAATAAGCAAACTAACACGAGGTGGTTAGGGACCATATTTGAAACGCATCATTCAGTTCACACTCGAAATCCGTCATTACCGCATGTGACTGCAAGGCCGGATCCAGGTTTTTCAGGGCAACCAGAATTCGAACGCAAATTGTTGCAGTTTTGTCTGGTGGTAGTGCACATTCTATTGGAATGATACCAACATGTACTATTCGACGTATTGCAAGCGACTGTTGAAACAACTGTCAAACGGTTTCAAATATTCTGTTGGTATAAGACTTTTGTGACTGCGATAATATTCACAGGACTTACGTAGTATCAAAAAACAAAATGCGGTTGTTTCGGGTCCTCTCCTTTGCTTAAGCAAATCCACATTAGCAAACATCTGCTTTTGCAATTCCGACAGTACCAGACAGATCATTTGAATTTGGTTGAACGTGTAAGACCGATAGGCAGTTCAACTCTAGTCTTTCTGGTTGCCTGCTTCGTGCCATGAATCGATGGCTCATCCCACATGTGTCAGTCTTAAGGGATGTAAAACCATAGCTTTGTAAATTGAGTTTTGAGTGGCAGTGGTGGGTTCTTTAATATATTTTATAATTTCTAGCGTTTTTATTTTGCGACATTAACTGTGTGGCTTTGTTCCGCAGTTAAGCAGACATGACGTCTTTGATTTGTGTAATCTGACACGATGTTTATTGTGCAGCACATGATCACGTTTCCAAGAAAATTTTCCTCATACCTTTTTGGCCTTAATGAGGAGGGTTCTTTTCAGATGCAAATTTCTTCCTCCTTTCGTACATTGGCTAAGTTCATGAGCAACGCGCGAATGAAATTTCAGTGAATTCAGCTGTCATGAGAAGCCTGCTAAACATAGAGATGTCGCATCCAAAAGTAAGACGTACCATTAACAGATGAGGTGATGAGCAACCGTGCAGATGGTCACAGGGCAGCGACCAAGCGTAGGCAAGAAAATTAGTGTATAGTGCATTTTATACGACCAATTTCCACATTTAAGCGTACTGTAGTTTGAGTCCGTTCTCTAAACAACGGGGAACTGACCATGTGCTGGACATTG